ATCTATGTGAATACTGAAACTATGTGTTCTGTTAAACTTGTATTCTGTGTGAATGTAAGAACTGCATGTTTCCTTAAACTTGTATTCTATGTGAATACTGGAACTGTGTTCCCTTAAACTCATATTCTGTGTGAATACTGGAACTATGTGTTCTCTCAAATATGTGTTTTGTGTGAATACTAGAACTGTGTAATCCATGATGAATTGTATATGCTGTGTGAACTTTGCTAGATATGTTGATCTACTAAGTTCTTATTATATAGCTTGTTTTGCATGCTTTGTGAACTTATATACATGTATGGTAGACTGTTATTACTATTGGGATTCTTAGAATCTCTCCCCTTTCCTTCCATGACATACAATAAAGGCAAGTGGCTCGAAGGGCAAGAGTGTGGTGATTGCAGGGAATTGAGAAGGTTGGACAAAGAACTAATTTGTATAGTTGGTCATCAGTTTATGCTTTTGTAGTTCGAACTTATAATTTTTGATCAGCCAATTATGGCTACCACTTAGTGTATATAAACATGTAGATATGTAATTATATGAGCCTATGGAATGTAAATTCCTCTATAAAGAGGGAGCTATGACTCTTGAAATTGACGGATGAGTGCCATCTGCTTTGATAGCTATGTGGTAGTAGATTAGTTTACTATATTATTGAATGAGGTAGTTAAGGGCAAGTGCATATATCATGCCCGTAAGCAATAAATAGCAAATATGGTGATAGCTGGTATTAATTGGTTAGCTAAGAAATGCTTTATTAATGTTAAAGCCTGAGGATTTGAAATAACTATGCCAAATTAGGGGAGAATGATTAAATTGAGAGTTTGAATCACTAAATAGATATTTTGAAAAATAGCTTTTAAAAAAAAGTTTTAAATTTTTCAGAAAATCTCATTCTTATACAGGATGGAACCCTGTGTATAGGATAAGTTTACATGAAAATTTATGCATGAATATTATCTTCTCAAGATAGACCTAGCTTAGTGGTTCAAAGTTATCATAAATTGACCTAGCTGGCATAAAAAATTAAGGTGTTACGGCTTTTAATAAATTTAATTGTTTTCTTAGACCACATAATTTAGTTAAAAGAATCTTATAAAAAGCACAAGACAGAGAGTGCTATGAAAGAGTTTCTTTTTATTGAAATGGAATTGGAAACGAAAGTAGGATATATATGTAGAGGCAGAATGAAAGTAGGTTTTACTAACAGGGTGAGTCTGGCAGAAGAAACTAGTTCCTTATAATTACAATATAAGATTCGAATTCTTGTTGAGAAATGTGTCAACATTTAGTGCCTGACAGTGCATAAAATATGATTGTCTCCAATAGGAAAATACCTACGTGTACAAAGAAAAAAAGAATGAAAGTAGCTTTTAAAAATATGTCTGTTATAACACACCGAAACCTAATATAATTAAATATTTTGATGCATAAAAGTTATAATTTTGGTATAAACCAGAAAATATTCCAAATGAAAAATTAAATATATTGCCGCATTTGTGTATGAAAGGTTTAAGGAAACAACTAGGATATTATTATATACTATCTCAGCTAATGTTTGTAAATGTTTAAGTTAGATAACTAATTCACATACATTAAGAAATTAGTTAAACCATTTATTTCTAACAAGTTTTTGTTGATTTTCTTAAATAACCATGTTATCATCATTCCAAAACTCCCTTAAATATATCATTTAATAGGGATAGCATGGGAAAATATATAAATTTGGGAGATAAATTGAATTAAGGTTTTATATTTAGTACCAAAATAAACTTTCTTATTAACTCTTACATTTAGAACAAGAGGGAAGAAGAGGGATTAATACTATTTTAACAAATGATTGAGATTGCAAATTAGGTAAAACATGTGACGTATTTTGTAACGAAAAGCACTAAATTACCAAACTCTTCCAAGCTACTTTTGACATTAAAAAGCATGTTAAGATTGATCATATACTAGATTACAAAAAGAAGAGTCAGTCAAATTTGGCTAAAAATTAAAGAAGTGTTGGTTGCTTAAGAAAGAGTTATTTCAAATTATGATATTGAAGTTCGATGAAAAAAATCAACTCAAATCTTTCCTTAATTTTTCTTTTTGGGTACCAATTATTACTGCCTCCTAACTTTCTGTCTTATTTAGAAGCCCCAATTAATTACTCTGCTTAGTTAAAAAAAAAGTTATTTGCTGTACCATTGATTAGAGGAGTTTAATTGATTGGTTAAAAAGTTGTATGCTTAGAGAAGATGAGATGGAGTATTCTGGTTCTATTTATAAGTTATACAGAGAAGTTTTTTTTTGGGTATATTTACTCTCTATAGTTATTATTGTAAGTTTTAAATAACTAATTTAGGAATAAAAATAGTTAAAATAAATTACAAGCAATGAATAAGTTAAAAATATATTTTTGTTTTTAAATATATCCTTATAATAAATGAGAAAAGGAAAAGTGAATGAATGTAGGAATGTGATGAGACACAGAGAGTATAACAAAGGAGAGTTAGATAATTAAGACAAAATTGGAAAAATGCATTAAATATTAAGACAAAGTCAAATTGAAGTTTATAAAATGGATCATACCACTTTTCAAATGTGAAGCTTATAAATAGGATTGGATGAAGTTTAAGTCATCTCATCAAATTTTTCATATCAATGATAGAATTTTGCTGCTCACATTCATTTATTATTATGTAAACTGTTTTTTTTTTTTGCCATCAATTATTATGTAAACTGTTATGCTCTTGAAAAGTGTGTATATATATATGTTAAATAGGAGTAAAATTAAAAATTTATTAAATTCTAAGACATAATTAATAAGATTTAAAATTTTTTTATTTTGAAAAATATGGTGAAAGTGATTTATGAATAGTAACATGATAGTGTGTCCAAATAAACAAAAGGTTGGCCAAAAACGAATCTAAATAAACAAAGGAGCAGGTGGAGTAGGTTTGGTATATCTATCTGATGCGGCATTAATAATTAATAATTAGAAAGGGGGGAAAAAGGGGGCCTCGGGTCGTGCAGTTGTCAATTAAGCGTCCCTCGCCGACTATAAAAAAAAATAATTAATTCAATTTATAATTGATACCGTATTATGGATATATTTATTTTGATTAAGACCATCCACCTAAAAGCATTAATTGTGTGAAAGAAAAGAACACCAAAATGAGCAACCGTGTTGACCAAAAGCCTACCAATCGTTCCATATATCTCTTTTGCTAATAATACAAACCAATAAAAGGCGATGCATATTTATATATTTACATTCAGTTGCGTAACACCCAAAATATTTTCATTACATAATGCCTTGCCTAGTTTTGGTGCTTGAATTTAGGATATCGCTGCAAGCATATGGAAAATATATTGATGACTTATTTTTCTTTAGCCCTTTTTTTTTTTACATTTATTCTTGTTGTTGTTGTTTTTAGAATATTTTGTTAATTGTTAACGCTGAGCATGTGGCTAGCGATTCCAGCTTTTAAGGTTTCATCTATGGTCCTAATACTTGCCCAATTTTTTTTTTAAAAGAAAAAGACACGAAAAAGCAAATGGTCTTAAGACGAAAGAGGTATATAATGGTAAGAGACAATCAATAATAATTCAGTAGTAATACGAATTAGGCTAAAGTAAAAACTAATGTTTGCGCATCATGAAGCCTTAATATAATTAATTAATCTTTTTAATTATCAGGATGTCAAAGTGTGAGCACAACTTAGTTAGATATTACGAGTTCCACATTAAATATAATTGTGCTTAATATCTATATATACTGCTTTGGTCCTGTTTATGAGGTAAAGACTATGTTTTTTTTTTTCCTATTTATAAGTCATATTATTAATTTTTAGTATAAATATACTATTTTATCTTTTATTTTTTATAACATGAATTGCTATTTCTCCTGAAAGGTGTGTGTACATATATTGAATAGTGATACAAGATAAAAGTTGTTATATTTTATTACAAAGGTAATGCAATTTTAGGTATCTCTTGGTCCTTGTAAAATATGATGGAAATGTCTTATAAATAGGACTAAAAGAATACTTCGCTGGTCCTATTTATTACATTTTTAATATGGATATGTTATTTTATTTTTTTTATTTATTATTGTATAGAGTGCTATTTTCTTAGATTGTGCATATATTCCCTCCGTTCCTTATTATAAGAGACGAATAACCGAATTACGTTGATCAAAAAAACAGTTAAATTAGTTAAGAACAATTAATGTGTAAAAGTATAATTTTTTTCCAAAAATCATTAATAAGGAGAGAGAGCATGAGAGAGAACAATAGTAAATTCTTAAAAAAAGAAGTGGAAGGAGAGAGAGTGTGAGTTGGAAACAATAAATATGAGTAAAATAGGAAATCAACACAAAAAAGTAGAGACAACTTTTAAGTGTCTTTTATATTTTGGAACATGCTATAAGCATCAAATGTCTCTTATAATAAGGACGGAGGAGTATTAAATAAGAGTATAGTTAGAAAGTTGTTAAACTTTGAGACAAAATTAATGAGGTTTAAAGTTTTTTCTTTTATTATAGTAAAACAAGTGTCTTATAAATCATACTAAAAGAGTACCACGCCGATCCCTATTATTATAAATACCACTCTGGTCCTTTTTAATTATCACTCAGTTTCTCATACACCAAGAAAATCATTAAATACATAAAATCTTTTATTTTTATCTTTATTAAATAGCTAGTATATTTTTTCTTACTCATTCTCTCTCTCTTTACCTTTACATTTGTCTCCCTTAATTAATAGGAGCAGAATTAGAAATGAAGCATTAAAAAGGATACAAATAACAAATAAAAAGGACCAAAATCCCACCTACAAGTAACAATTAAAAAGGACTGAAGTGATAACTTTTAACTTACTCTCACATACCAATAAATCCATTAAATTGATACAATTTTTCAAATTTGCCCTTATCAAATTTTTTATATCTCAATATTTACAAATCATTCTCACCCCCCTCTCTTCTTTCGCTCTTTTCAACATAAATTAAACACGGGTGAAATGAAAAAATAACCATTGACAACTCTAGAATGGGCTTATATTGGAAACAATTTTTTTTTAATACAAATGACTTATAATAGGAATCAAAATGATGTATACATGTAAAATTGGACCCATAAACTCGAGTCTTGGGGTATTGAATTAAGATGCCGTGTCATTCCATTGTTCATGATTTGGTTATTCTATTCCACATTTTTTTGGTCCCATGCCTCTCAAACCAACCACTCCCTTGATTTTTCTTATTGGTTATAAACTAATTTTAAATTATGTACTAGGAATCATAGAATGCGAGAGAACAAAAAAGAAAAGAAAAAACTGATCGAGAACATAAATAGCGTTACGTAGGAATAGAAGAAAAGTTAAAAAAAAAAAAAATCAAATGTTCAGAACTATGCACAGAATTATAAAAAGGTTATGGGAACGCGGGTGTGTTTAAGAGAGAGAAAGAGACGCGAATAAACAAACCACCATCTAATATGATAATCTTTGCAGCAGGTGAACAAAAAGATTGAAAATTGAACACTTTTACCAAGTCTTAATTATAAGTTGTTTCCTCGTAGGGAATCAATGAAATAGTCCAAGTGAGGTCTTAATTAAACTGTTAATGAACGTCTCCAGCCATGTGCTAAACATAATATCAATAATTGATATGGTAATGTGGATATATTTTTTTACATTAAAGTGGTAACTAAAACAGAATACTAATTCAACAATGATGGCTGCTCCCTTGAGCTATAAATAGACGACGACAACAAATGGATTTGGTCACAAGAAACACACAATTTAGAGAAAGGATTTGAGAAAAGATGGTAAAAGGTTCAGTATTTATCTCTCTCATTGCCCTCTTGGCTTTGACTTGCTCCCTTGCTTCTGCCTATGACCCCAGCCCTCTGCAAGATTTTTGTGTGGGTGTCAATGATACCAAGCTTGGAGGTACGTACACACACAATACCATGCGCATTAATTATGAGATCCAATAAGGATATTGATTAGTAATTCTACTGAATTGGTTTTGTGCAGTATTTGTGAACGGGAGATTCTGCAAAGATCCCAAGCTTGTGAATGCAGAAGATTTCTTTTTCCACATAATGCCAGGGAACACAAACAATCCATTGGGCTCCCAGGTGACTCAAGTGTCTGTAAATGAATTCCCAGGACTCAACACTCTTGGTATCTCCCTTGCTCGTATTGATTATGCACCCTATGGTTTGAATCCTCCTCACACTCACCCTCGTGCCACTGAGGTGTTGACTGTTCTTGAGGGAACTCTTATGGTTGGATTTGTGGCTTCCAATCAAAACAACAACCGTTTCTTTACCAAAATCCTCAACAAAGGAGAAGTGTTTATATTTCCCTTTGGTATGATTCACTTTCAAATCAACATCGGCCATTACAATGCTGTGGCACTTTCTAGTCTAAGTAGCCAAAATCCAGGAGTTATTACCATTGCTAACGCTGTGTTTGGATCCAATCCTCCCATCAATCCTGATGTTCTCGCTAAAGCCTTCCAGGTTGACAAGAAGATAATTGCCTATCTTCAAAAGCAGCAATGGTACGACAATAACTAAACATGCTAGCTATCTTGTAAGAATAAATGCGATGCATGCAACTTTGTGTTGTAACCTCAATCATATGATCTGTTGTGTTCTCTTTTACCTCGTACCTTGTTCTCTCTTCCAATTTCATTTGGCTTCTTGCAAAAGCTGTAATGTTCACCTCAATATATAATACTATTTACAGCTCTATAAAGCCAAACGTCTTATTTGTTATGTACTTAGTTTTACTTTAGTTCTTCCAAAAGAAATCCATCCCACTCGAACTAGGAAAGGAAAAAAAAAAAGAGTTGTCAATATTTTTTCTTTGTTTTAATCCCTAATCTAATGCAACTCACTACACCCATCTTCCAGCAACGAGTTTGTTGAGGAATAAAGTAATAAATTGCTTTGCATATTCTGATTAACAACTACTTCCTTTTTCCTATACACAACTTACAAATACCCGAACTATATGTAAATAAAAAAGTTGGTTAAAATTAGTAAAAGACAATCATTATGTAGGGAAATATAGTTTTTCTCAAATATACAATTATTTATGGAGAATGCAAGTAAGAAAGAAAATGAGTGGAAAAAGAGATAACGAATAATGAGTGGAATAAAAGATAAGAGAAACATGCAATTAATTAGGGTAAAAATAAAAAAAATTGAACTGATATTTCAAACAGGTACAAAGGATAACTTATTAAAAGGATCTTCCCTATCCCAAAAACTTTAACTTGTGTATGGGAATGAGTTAGTAAAACTACACATGTTTTACTATTTTCTTCTTTCACTATCGCTGAAATTGAAATATTTTATGCCTTAAAATTTGAAAATTATTGAAAAAATTATGATAAAAAATGAGACGCAAAAACGGGGAAAATTTATTATGTGGTCTCAAAGAAGAATTATAATTATTAAAATGTTTTATAAAAAGTGAATGACAAGTTACAGTACATGAAATAATAATAAAATTTATATACTGTTAACTTGTTATTGAGATTTGTTTTATAATTATATTCTATCTTCAACACTTTACAGTGATTCTCTTTGAAAACAGTGCACAGCATATTTATATATAAATTATTTTTACGAAGGACTGAGCATTTGTTTAAGAGAACTTACTAATTAGATAACAATAGTACAGAATACACGATCAATTATAAGGATCACAGTATAGACATAGTAATTTCTGCTGAAAAGATTTGAGATATTTTAAGTAAACACATGGGATTATTTTAAAGTCATGAAATCTTATAATGATTTAGAAATTATTCGGCATGCTTAGATGCTCTGAAATACAATTCATTGGTTCATTGATATTTGAAATTAATTAATTTCTTATATATTTACTCAAGTTTAGTTAAGATATCATTTATAGAAACTCAATACTGTATCTCAGTAATTAAATTGAAATGTACATATTCTAAATGCTTCAGTTTGTAAGCTCAACGCATGATTTAAAACATAATAAGAAATAATTCATCATTTAAATTACTGGACATATTAAAATTTGAACATGTCAAATAACTATTATTTGACTTGTTATACGTTTGTTTACTTTTCAGCATTTACCGCAACGTGTACTGATCGTAACAAGCAACATAATAATTAAAAACAAAAAAATATTGTTCCCGCAAAAATTTTTAAAACCTGGACACTACAAGCAGATTGATCATTTGTGCAAGCGTACGGGATCAACGTATAAAAATCTTAGGCCTTGTTACGTAGTAATGATTTTTCATGAATTGAGATGGATAGAGTATGAGAGTAGGAATTATTAGGCTTTTATTTTACTTTTGGTATAAACTAATATGTGAAAGGAATACTAATAGAAATTGAGTTCAGTAGAATGGGCTAGTTTCTTATTATAACATAATAAATTAATGTTCCAACAGTGATTCAAACGGGACTGTCTTCAATAATAAAAGGTTAAAAAAAAAAATCAAATGTTCAAGACTATGCACAGAATAATAAAAGGGTTATGGGAACATGTGTGTGTTTAAAAGAGAGCGACGTGAATAACAAACTACCATCTAATATGATAATTTTTTGCAGCAGGTGAACAAAAAGATTGAAAATTGAACGCTTTTACCAAGTCCAAGTGAAGTCTTAATTACACTGTTAATGAACGCCTCCAGCCATGTACTAAACATAATATTAATAATTGATATGGTAATGTGGATATATTTGTTTAGATTAAAGTCGCAACTGAAACATGCTAGCTATTTTGTAATGAATAAATATGATGCATTGCATGCCTTGTTCTCTCTTCCAACTTCATTTGGCTTCCTGCAAAAGTTGTAATGTTCACCTCAATATATAATACTGCTTACAGCTCTATAAAGCCAGATGTCTTATCTGGTATGTACTTAGTTTTACTTTAGTTTTGCCAAAAGAAATACATCCCACTCGAACCAAGGGGGGAAAAAACAAGTAATCAGTATTTTTTTTTCCTTTTTAGTCCCTACCCTATTGCAACCAACTGTGCCATCCTACAGCAACGACTTTATGCAACTAACTGCACCATCCTACAGGGCAACGAGTTTTGTCAAGGAATAAAGTAATGAATTGCTTTGCATATTCTGATTAACAGCTACTTCTTTTTGTCCTATACATTAAGTTATAAATAACCGAACTATATGCAAATAAAAAAATTGGTTTAAATTGGTGAAAGACAATGAATATGTAGGAAATATAGTTTTTTCCTCAAATATACAATTATTTACAGAGAATGTAAGTAAGAGAGAAAATGAATGGGAAAAGAGACAAAAGATAATAAGTGAGAGAAAATACAAGAACGCCATGCAATTAATTGAAGGTAAAAATAAAAAAAGTGAATTAAATTTTTAAACAAGTGTCCAATTCCAAAAACTATAACTTATATACGAGACATGAGGGAGTAATAACTACACTCAGGTTTTACTATTTTCTTCTTTCACTATTACTGAAATTGGAATATTTTATGCTTTAAAATTTGAAAATTATTTTTAAAATTATGGTAAAATGAGACGTGAAAAATAGGTACAATTTATTATACAGTCTCAAAGAAGAATTATAATTATTAAAGTGTTTCATAACAAGTGAATGACAAATTCTGGTATAGAAAATGATAATAAAATTTATATGCTGCTCACTTGTTATTGACATTTTTTTCATAATCATATTCTTTCTTCAAGACTTTAGAGTCATTTTCTTTAAAAATAGTGCACATTGCACAACTATATATATATACATATATATATATATTTTAATGAAGGACAGAGTGTTTGTTTAAAACGGACTTATTACTAATTAGATATCAATAGTTCTGAATACATGATCAATTATAAAAATCGCTGTATAGACATGGTAATTTCTGCTGAAAAGATTTGAGATATTTTAGGCAAACACACTACACACGAGATTACTTTTAAAATCCTGAAATCTTATAACGATTTAGAATTTATTCGGCATGATTAGATGTTCTGAAATACAATCCATTGGTTACATTGATATTTCAAATTAATTAATTTCTTATACATTTACTCAAGTTTAGTTAAGATATCATTCATAAAAACTCAATGTTGAATTTCCGTGATTAAATTGAAATGCTTCAGTTTGTAGGCCGAACGCATGATTTAAAAAATAATAAAAAATAATATTCATCCTTTAAATTACTAGAACAATTTAATGACGTATTAAAATCTAAACATGTCAAATAACTGTTATTTTATTTGTTATAGGCTTGTTTACTTCCCAGCATTTACCACAAAGTGCATTGATATTAATAAGTAACATAATAATAAAAAATATTGCTCCTACAAAAATTTGTTGGTTCTAAAACCTGGTCATTGCCAACAGTGTTTAAATAGCTGGACCAAACCAGACGGTCCGACAGGCCTAACCACTGACTAGACACCCCTTTGCTCCACCCAGGTGAAAAACTTGTTCCAAAGGTTAGGCCAGATTGGCCTGGCATTGGGCCGCTATTGAGCTGTCAACCATTAAAAACCCGAGAATCAGAGTGGCTAAGTGAAAACCCTTCAGCCTGAACCAATCCAAACTTCCACCACTAGAATCCACTTGCAGCTTTCACCGAAGAAAATTTAACACCTTAGAATTGGTTTAGAAACTTTAATCACATGTCCCCAATCCTAAATTTTGAGCCTAGGAATGCAAGGAATAGCCTAAAATGGGCAAGCTACTGAGTCTCAATGAGCTGAAGTTTTGAAACTGTAAAAGGAAGGTTAAAGGGTTTTTAGGGACTAAGTGATAAAATGAGAAAGTTCTAGGGACTAAAATATAAATAAAGTTAGAACTGTAGTGAAGTCTCGAGGCCTAAAAATGAGAAATGGAGATAAATGTAGGTCAAAGGTTATGTTAGAGGCCTTAATAAGGTGAATTATAGGGTTAAGTCAAACCAAAGGCAAGATCATAATTTTGCAAAGTTTTGGGCTGGGGAGGACAAAGATGAAAATTATGCCTGAAACTGGGACATGATGTTTAAAGGCCTTGTTGAGAAGATAAATAATGAAAATACCCCTGAGATGACTTTAATGGAATTTTTAAGATAACAGCTCATTTTGAGGTATACAACTAGATTTAGTTATTTGAGCTGTGAGAAAATCTCAGAAAAGTAAGTAAAAATTGGGATTTATGAGTTAAGAGCCTACAAAAAATTATAAAATAAGTCTCATCTCCAAAAAGCCAGCAGAATGGCTTTAAGGATAATTAAAAGCTAGTTATGCCATTGGGGGCATTTTATGAAAAGTTTGAAAAGAAATAGCTATGGGCTGTGTTATGTCATGAGAAAATTCATAAATTTTTTTTAGAATTAAAGAAAGTTTATGATATGGGCGGATGAATTTTTAAAGCTCTAAATTGAATAAAATGTTCCAGTAAAATATTAAATAATTTTGCCCCTATATAGGAGGCAAAATCAAAGAAAATATGTAAAAGCAATTATAAGGGCACTGAGTCAACATGCTGAGTCATCAAGGTGTATTTATGACGCTGCTAAGTCATCTAATAAGTCGCCAGAAGATATTTATGGACAATAAAAAAATCAAAACGCAGTACAGGTACGTTTTCGATAGTCATCTGTCTACCCATTATAATGAAATCTCTATTGCGTGACTTAGTGAGGCTAAGTAGCTTGTTAATGGAGCTAACTATTTTCTTCTATTCTCTTCTATGATGGTGCCATATGTGCACCAATTCATTGGTTAGAAATTCCAAGAAAGCATGCGGGA